GGAAGAGCAGTCAGTGCTCTTAACCTCTGAGCCATCTCTCCAGCCCCCAGGTTTTTAATTTTTTAAAAATTTTATTTTAGGGGGCTGAAGAGATGGCTCAGAGGTTAAGAGCATTGCCTGCTCTTCCAAAGGTCCTGAGTTCAATTCCCAGCAACCACATGGTGGCTTACAACCATCTGTAATGAGATCTGGTGCCCTCTTCTGGCCTTCAGGCACACACAGAATATTGTATACATAATAAATTAATTAATTAATTAAAAAAAATTTTATTTTAGGACTGGAGAGATGGCTCAGCGGGTAAGAGCACTGTATCCTCTTCTCAAGGACCCAGGTTCAATTCCCGGTGTCCACATGGCAGTTCACAACCATCTGTAACTCTAGTTGCAGGGGATCCAACACCCTCACACAGACAGACATATAAGCAGAACACCAATGCACATGAAAAATAAATCTTTAAATTTTTTTTCTTTTAGCTAGGTAGTGGTGGCACACGCCTTTAATCCCAGCACTTGGGAGGCAGGTGGATTTTTGTGAGTTTGAGGCCAGCCTGTACTGCAGAGCGAGTTCCAGGACAGACTTTGGCTACACGGAGAAACCCTGTCTTGAATAAACCCCCCCAAAAAAATTATTTTATTTTTTTTAGTTTTCTGAGACAGGGTTTCTATAGCCCAGGCTGACCTCAAACTCCCAGCAATCCCCTTGCCTCAGTTTTCTAAGTGCTACTATTATAGGCCTGTACCACCACACCCAGCCTAAGATCTAGCATGTTCCGTAAGCACCTAGTGATGTGTGGCTGAACACAAGGGGCACGCTTGAGTAGTGCTGGGCAGGCGTGTAGGAGTCCAGATGTTCAGCTGACTGGCAGAGCAGGGAAGCATACCAGGCTGGAGGGACAGAAGGTCGGGCAGAAAGGGTAACCTGGGACTAAAGGCAGGGCAGTGGGCATGGCTGCAGCATGCATTCAGCAGTCATCCAGGAGTGGAGCAGTGGGGAGAGAGCCCTGGGCATGCCCACTCTGTGTGGTATGGGAGGCGACAATGCTTAGGAGCTACACAGCTGTCAGTCTGACTCTAGGGAAGACCTGTGCTGGGAAGACCCCAGGTTGACCACTGAGCAGGCCATCGCCAAAGGCAAAAGAGTTTGCATCGTGGAAGGCAAAGGCACTTAGGATAGAGATGGTGGTGGTCACAGGCCAGCAGGAAGAAGGAGGATTCTAGAAGGAGCAGGTCTAATGACCTCAGGCTGGAAAATTCCAGGCCCTGATGCTGGAGCCTGACAGACTGAATCTGTGTAGGCTAGTCTAGGTGGCGCACACTTGTAACCACAACACTGGGGAGACCGAGGCAGGAAGATAACTGTGAGTTATGAGTTCAAGGCCAGCCTGGGCTAGAGTGAGACCCTGCCTTAGAAACACCAAAAAAGAAAAGGATTTAGTGGGGACCCCTGTAAAGAGGATGGGAAATTGGAAAGCAAAGATCTTTTTTTTTAAAAAAAAAATATTTATTTTATTATGTATACAATATTCTTTCTGTGTGTATGCCTGAAGGCCAAAAGAGGGCACCAGACCTCATTACAGATGGTTGTGAGCCACCATGTGGTTGCTGGGAATTGAACTCAGGACCTTTGGAAGAGCAGGCAATGCTCTTAACCACTGAGCCATCTCTCCAGCCCAAAAGCAAAGATCTTAAAGCCAGGGACAGACACCCATAGAGCAGGTGCTGGGAGCTGTGCCAGGCCCATAGGCCTAGAACCCAGCTACTTGAAAGACAGAAAACTCAAGACCACCTGAGCAACTTCAGTCCCAGCACTTCTAAGTTCCTGATAGCCAGGGCTGCATGCTACGTGGTCAAACTGTGTTTCAAATAATAGTAATGATTCAGCTGGCAGAGGAGCTACTGTGGTCATGAAGACAGTGTGCCCAGGGTGAGCCTTACCTAGTGCCCTCCAGGTGGGCTCACCCCTCCGATTTCCCCAAATATGCGAAATTTGACTACATATTTTGTGAAATTGGGGGACAGCCATGTTCAGGGGCTCCCATATTTAACAAGGAGGACTGGAACTCAGTGTTGAACGGCTGCCTGACACACACACACCAGTTCCTGGGTTCAGTACCCAGCCCTGCGGGGTGAGGGCGGGTGCTAGGGTGGAGAGGAGAGTGGCACACCTCGGAGGGTGATGCAGGTTAGGAGGTCGAGCCCGTGCAGAGGAAGCCAGGGATGAGCTGCAGAGATGCTGTGAACGCGCTCAGCTGTGGCCACAGTCTCGGACTGAGGCCAGCACAAACGCAGGTCAGTGTGAGCCCGCCCTTGTTCAGGTCCGGACGTCTCCTGTCTCCTCCAGTTCCTGACTGTTGCTCTTTGGCACTTACTGACTGACGGTCTCCTCAGCCCCAAGGTGGTGATTTTTATGTGTTGGGCCTAAGCTCTTGGCTCAGTGAGTGTGTGGACATCTCAGGGAGGGAGAAAAGATGTGGGATGGGGAGAAGGAATTCACAGCGTGAAATGAACTGCATTCTTTTTCAGGGGGTGGGTTATGAGAAAGGGTTTCCCTTTGTAGCCCCAGCTATTCTGGAACTAGCTCTTGTAAACCAGGCTGGCCTTGAACTCCCAGAGATCTGCCTGCCTCTGCTTCCCACGTGCTGGGACTAAAGGCTTGTGCCACCATGTCAGGCTATGGCAGTAGAATTGAAAGGAGATAATTAATCAGGTGGTGGTAGTGCATGCCTTTAATCCCAGATGGTTCTGTGTGAGCTCAAGGCCAGCCTGCTCTATAGAAGTAGTTCCAAGACAGCCAGGGCTACACACACAACAAAACCCTGTCTTGAAAAAACAAAAAGAAAAAAAAAAGAAAGGAGATGATTAACAGTTGGTGGACCTAGAGTCGGGGGTGACTCCCAAGTTTCCACCTAAGGAAGGAGTGATAGAGGGACAGAATTGGCAGGGTTGATAGTTCCGGTTGGCACTTGCTGACTTTGAGGCCTAGTGCACTTTCCAGAAGAGGATCTTCTTGCATGTTTCACTGAAATTGTTGAAAGGTTCCAAGGCATCTCTAACTCTCTACCTCCTCTCACTACCCTCGATGGTCTAAAAACAATCTTCATGGATGCCTTTGGACAGTGTGGCAAATAGGCGGATCTTGAAGCCCAGGAGGGGGCGCAGTCATGATGGGAAACTGGGCAGTTATAGAAAGGAGGACAGGCCAAAGGCTCATGGCATTTAAGAGGGGCAGAGGGAGAGGAGCGTGAGGCATATCAGAGAGGAGGAAGGACCCCAGAGGAAATGGATTCTGGGGACCCAGGACACAGCACCGTTGTTTGCCTGAGGGAAACAGACAAGCCTTCACTGAGCAGTGTGTGACCTGGAGGGAGATGGGGCGGGGAAGGATGAAGCTCAGAGGAAGTGTAGTCACGGTTTGGAGGGTTTGGGTGGAGAGCTCAGCTTCTCAAAGGGGAAGACAAACAGGGAAATGAAAGAATTTTTGACTTGGTAGCATATCGTGTGTGTGTACACATACCTGTGCATGTGTACCTGTGTGTGTGTGTACACCGTGTAAATGTAGAGGCCAAAAGTCAACCTCAAGAGTCTTTCCTCAGGAACAATCCACCAGACAAGGGCATGTGTGTAAGTATGTGTGTGTGTGACTTCTTTTAGTATGTGTGTGGGTACAAGAATGCCATAGGGCAAGCAAGCATATAGGGGGCAAAGAACAACAGAAGGGATTCAGAGTTCTCCTACCTTTGGGTTCTAGGACTCAAACTCAGGTGGTCGGGCTGGCACACTGACACTCACCACCTAGGCTAGGCCGTCCAGCCAGAGAGCCCCAGGGATCACCTCTCTTAGTCTCTAGCACTGGAGGCACAAGTGCCTGTCTCCAGATCCAGCTTTGTTGTTTAAAAATTTGCTTTTTTAGCTAACTGTGGGGGCATGTGTACATGTGTGTTTGAGTGCCTGAGGAGTAGTGAGCCACCTGATATGGGTACCAGGAATTAAACTGGTCCTCTGGAAGAGCACCCAGTACACTGAGCCATCTCTCCAGCCCCTCCCTGGTTTGTTGTCGTTTTTGTTTGTTTGTTTGTTTTTTAACTATGGGTTCTGGGGATCATATCAAACTCTGGCTGGCATGCACTTCACAACTCTCCTCAACACAAACATGCTCTCTCATAAAGTTGTCTGATTTTTTGAGACAGGGTTTTGCTATGAGGACCTGCCTAGCTTATGGCTCCAGGTCTCAAATGGCTCTGAGAAATTTGTAATAACATATAGGGGCGCTCGTAAATGAAAGCAAACAGAGCATCGTAAATTAAAGATAAACGTTCAGTGCTTTCCACAGTGCGTTCTTGGTGTCCTAATGTAGATCACGCTGCCTGGAACTTGCTACCAATTTCCTGCCTCCTCCTGAATTCTGTCTGGACTTTGCTGTGCCTAACTCTCCACTCCTTATTTTGTTTGTTTGTTTGTTTGTTTGTTTTGAGACAGGGTTTATCTGTGTAGCCCCCTGGCTGTCTGGAACTCTGTGTAGACCAGGCTGGCCTCGAATTCAGAGATCCCCCTGCTTTTGCCTCCTGAGTGCTGGGATTAAAAGCATGGACAACCATCGTCCTTCAAGCTCTCCACTTCTTAAAATCAAATTTAGGTATAAGAATAGAAAGGTGTGGTGGTGCACGCCTTTAATCCCAGCACTTGGAAGGCAGAGGCAGGCAGATCTCTGTGAGTTCGAAGTCAGCCTGATCTACAAGAGCTAGTTTAGTCTCCAAAACTACACAGAAACCCTGTCTCAAAAAAATAAATAAAAATTACAATTTTCCTAAGTTAAAATCAAATTCAGTATGGTATAATTTACATATTCTAGAACATGCTTTATTTATTTTGCAGTGGTAGGGACCAAAGCCAGGGCCTCTTGCAATAAATAGATTGGTTCTCTGCCACTGAACCACATTTTCACTCCCCTGAAATTCGCTGATTTAAGTTTTATTTATTTGTGTCCTGCTGAAGACTGAACCCAAAGTTCTGACACACTAGTCGGGAGCTCTACCACTGAGCACGCTGAGATGGATATATAATACACTTTGAGCAGTGCGGGTGTTGGACATAGTGACGTAGGCTTCTAATTACAGAATCCAGAATGCAGAAATAAGAGGACACATACATTCATGGCCATCCAAAGCTACTCAGCAAGATGATGCTAAAAAAAAAAAAAAAAAAAAAAAAAAGTCAGGCACTGGTGGCACATGCCTATGTGCCTTTAATCCCAGCACTTGGGAAGCAGAGGCAGGTGGATCTCTGAATTTGAGGCCATCCTGACCAACAGAGCAAGTGCCAGGACAGGCTCCAAAGCAGAGAAGCCCTATCTTGAAAAAACAAAAACAAATATCCCGACAACAAAATCGCCAGATATAGCTCTAGTCCTTAGGCTGAGAAAGGGAGCAGAAAAGGCCAGTACGGGTTTCACAGTGAGTACTAGGTCAGCCAGGAATACCAAGTAGGATCTTGTCTTAAACAAACAAAACAGCTTGCTGGTACATTTCTGTAATCCATCATTTGGGAAGTAGAAGCAGAAGGATCAGAAGTTCCAGGCTTCATAAGATTCTGCCCCCAAAGAAAAGAAAAGTGGCCACAAAAGGAGCTGGTTAGATGGCTCGGTGGGTAAAGGCACTTGCTACAAGTCTGAGGACCCGAGTTTAATCCCCAGGACCCACACGATAAAATTATAGAACCAACTGCCACAAGTTGATAGAACCTTCTGACCATCAAGTGCATGTGCACACTCACACGCGTGCACACGCGTGCACACATGCATGTAAATCAGTAAATGTAATAAAAATGAAATGGGCTGGAGAGATGGTTCCATGGTTAAGTGTGCATACTGCTATTGCAGAGGACCTGTGTTCAGTTCCCAGCACCCACATCGTGGCTCACAACCATCTGTAATGCCAGTTCCAGGGGTCCAATCCCCAATATTTATTTTTCTGTATGTTTGTGTGAATGTGTGCCATATGTAATAGGAACACAAAATCCCTGTCACAATCAGAAGACCTTAGACCTTCTGCTTCGTCTTGCCTGGACTACAGCCAGACTGGCCTCCTGGCTGTTTCTCAACATGCCCCTGCCTCCAGAGACCTTCCTGGACTCTAGTTAACATTGTACCCAAGTCTATATGGTGACACTTGGGAGGCTGAGGCAGGAGAATTGATAGTTTCAGACCAGCCTGGGCTGTAGTGTGAAATCCTCTCTGTAAGGTTTTCTTTTTGTTTGAGATGGGATCTCATGTCACCAAGGCTGGTTTTGAATTCACTTTGTAGCTGAGCATGGCTTTGGATTTCTTCTGATCCTCCAGCCTCCTCCTCAGTGTCGTAATTACAGTCATGTACTACCATGCTTGGTTTTATACAGTGCTGGGTATTGAACCCAGGACTTCCTGTATGCTAGGCAAGCCCTATACCTACCAAACTACATCCTCCATCCATAAAAACAAAGACTGTATCACACTCCTGTGCCCCTATTTTCCCTAACCTCCATTGCTCATGTATCTATGACTATTCCTATCCTTTCCCTTCCTGTGTGAGTGCCAGGAAGAGAGGATCCTGGGAGATTGTGTGCCTGTGTCAGCGAGCCAAGACTGCCTGACAAGTACTAGATTCTCAGTAAATGTTTTAGAGAGGCCTGGAAGATGGAATTCTCAGCCTCTGTCTTCAGGCCCTGAGCAGCCTGGAGGTGAGCATGTGGCCCAAGCTGTTCAGGTTTTTGTGCCTTCATGTTATGTTCAGGTGGCTGTTTCTCCGTGGCTTTTTTGGTAGCTCCATTCAGCAGCTGATATCCTTGGCCTGTTCCTGCTGAGACCCCAGTGTGCCTTAGGCTTCCTGGTCCCCAAGCTCTAGTTTCAAGTGACTCAGTTCCCTGTGCTGAGAAACCTGTCTTCAATGACTTTTAACTCTCCCTTTCCTCTTTAAAGACTTTATTTTGTGTGGATGAGTATTTTTGCACACATATATCTGAATGCTCTGTGTGTTTGCCTGGTGCCTGCAGAGGCCAGAAGACATC